CCCAACATGTCACATTGATGGTGTCCTCCAGGGCCTCAGCACAGGTCACATTCACTACTGGGGACACTGGAGGGAAATAAAGGCAAAAATAGTCAGGCATGTGACCAAGCCTCACTCCCCTTCTCCCCTCTTCTGACTCTGGCCTAAGACCTCATTGAAGTGAGGTCCACAAGTCTGTTTTCAACCTGGAGCCCGAGTCCTCTGACTGGCAGGAGGATGGTCACTGGGCTTGTGGCCTCACAGTCTCACTTCAACGTGTTATGTTAAATAGGGGGTGTTATAGGAATTCTGGTTTGTGAGGTGATGAGGGGTATTTTGGGGGGTCCAGGGTTGTGGGGCCAGGTGGGAGCTCTCTATGATAGCAGGCAGGCAGGGGGGTGAGGGCTCACTAGTGTCTGGGCACATACACCCTCCTGTCTCTATCTAGCAGTGTGACAGGACAGGCAAATCACAACACGATAAACTCACACAAGGTCCTCTGGGCAGAGGCTCCAGGGGAGTAGGAAGAGCCCTTCCAGAAGACTAGATATCTCCTGAGTCTTCCACAAATCTCTCCCTGCACTTGGGCCCAGTAATCCTTGCTTTGCATGCCATCTGCATCCCAGGAATTCTTGACTTCCATAGCCAAGTTCTGAACTGAGGATGGCTCCACTGTCCAGCTGTGTGTCTCTGGATGATAGGAGAGGAAGGGCTCCCCATCGTAGTAGAAATTCCAGAAGGCCCTGGTGCGGTTGTCCTTGTGAATCTTGCAGCCCCAAGTCTCCTGGAGGAAATGAGACCCTGCCCCCACCCATCAGTCACTTTTCCATCCACTGGGCCCTCCGCCTCTCTGCCCACCAAGTAAAAAATACTAGCCCACAGGGGACCCCAACCTGGCTCTCCTCCATGTCCCCAGTGCAGGTCTGTATAAAGCCCATTTCTTGCCCTCCCCAGTCAATTGCAGTGAGAAGACACAGGTCCTGGAGAAAGCCTCACATCACACTTGCTCCTGCCCACACTCACCTCCTTTTTGCTCTTGCCAGGCATTGATATCTGCCAGGGTTGCTTTTAGATTCTTGCTGTGCTCTGCCAACTCCTGGATCTCTGTGTCCCAGCTTTCAGTTCCCAAAGGTTTTTCTGCCCATGGCCCCTGAGGCTTTGCACTTTCTTTTTTGTCACTATCAAAGTGAAGGAAGAGCTGACGGTCCCAATAACCATTGGCAAAGGACCTTGATTGCACTGATCCACCTTGGGACCTCACTGTGAGGTTATAGTGAAGACTGTGGGTCCCTGTGGAAGAGGAAGCAACAGATGACCCTTCTACCTGTGAACAAGTGCTCATCAATGCTCATCACAAAGGCTCTGCTGTCCTGAGCACCTGAGGAGACAAAGGGACAGAAGAAAGGTTTCTAATACAGTGAAGACAGGGAACTAGAGAGGAAGGAGAGTGGAAGTGAGGAATGGAGAAAGGGGAGTGGGGCAGGCAAGTTGGCCAGGGCCCAAGACATAGGCATGGGTTCTTAAGGGTACAGGTGGGTGTTCAAGGGGAGAGGTTGACCTGCAGAGGCAAGGGAGGTGTGGGAGGGGCAGAGGTGCATGGCAGGGCTTGTCAGAGGACAGAGAGGGCAAAGGAAGGGCAGACGGTGGGTGGAACTATGGTCACTGAAGTGGAGCCCAGGCAGGGAAGGTCCCCAGAGGGTGTGTGTGTTCTGTCCATGTACAGACTTCTCATGGATAAGGTGGGGCAGACAGGGGGTCAAAGTGGGTGTGAGGGTTGTGGCCCCAAAGTGTTGAGTTGGGTTGTATCCTAAAGGGAAGTGAAGCAGTGGGCTTGGTCCAAAGTAAATGATCAGCATCTGGAAGCCTCAGGTGGGGGACTTAAATTGTCCTAGTAGCATCCTCCCCTGGGAAAAAGCAGGTAGCAGTGTTTCCAAAGACCTGATGTAGCTTTTCTTTTTTCTTTATGTATTTATTTATGTATTTATTTATTTTATTTGTTCTAATTAGTTATATGTGACAGTAGAATGCATTTTTACCCATGATATGTAGATGGAGTATATATAGCTTCTCATTGTTTTGATTGCATATGATGTAGAGTTATACTAGTCGTGCAATCATATATGCATATGAATAATAATCTCCGATTCATTCTACTATCATTCTTACTCTATACCCTCTCCCCTCCTTTCACTTCCTTTTATCTAATCCAAAGTAACTCTATTCTTCCATAGCCCCCCACAAACATAATGTATCTTTCTAATAGATGTACTAGAAAATTTGGATTTCCACAAACAATGAAGTTGGATCCTTTACTTACTCATATTTGGAAATTAACTCAGGACTGGGGATATAGCTCAATGATAGAGTGCTTGCCTAGCTTCTGCAAATGTGAGTGAGCTCACACACTCACACACACACACACACACACACACACATACACACACAAACTCAAAATGAAAAAAAAATGCAGACTATAAAACCAAACATTCTTAGAAGAAAACACACTGACTGGTACATATTGTGATATGTGCCTGTAATCCCAGATACTCAGGAAACTGAAGCAGATGAGTGGAAGTTAAAAGCCAACCTGGACATGTGAAATGGGAGAAAAAATTTGCAAGTCATATATCTAATAAGAGATGAACATTCAAATATATCAATATATCTTCGGCTGGGGTTAGCTCAGCTGTAGAACACCTGCCTAGCATGTGCAAGGGCCTAAGATTGATCCCAGCTCCATAAAACAAGCAAACATAAAAGAATCTCAAAAACTCAAAAATAAGAAAAATGTTGAATCTATTCAGAATTGGGCAAAATATCACTACAGCCAGTTGTCTAGTAGATACCCAAATAGCCAATAAGCACACAAAGAGATACTCAAACATCAGCTGTCAGCAGGGAAATAAAATTGAAAGCACAGTGACATTCTACTTTGTACCCATGAGGATGGCTACTTTTTAGAAAAAAAGAATGTAGAATGAACAAGTTCATAACTACAGAGAAAACTGCAGCACGGTGCATTGCTTGCCTATATATATAATGGAGCAACTGCTATGAAAATGGTATGGTGGTTCCTCCAAATATGGAAAAGATACTTTCTATATAATGTAGTAATTGTATTTCTGGACATAAACACAAAAGTTGTGAAGTCAGGGAAATGCAGAGGTATGTGTACATGACTTTCATAGTAGCATTGTTCCCAAAAGCCAAAAGGTAAAAGTAACCCCAGTATTTATCAACTGATGAACAAACATCTAATCACAATATGGCTTATATGCAAAATGAACATTATTCAGCATTAAAAAGGAAGGACATCCTGAAAATTGCTACACCATCGATGATCTTGAGGACATTAGCTAAGTGGAAAAGCCAGTCATGAAAGGGCAAATTCTGCATGATTGCACTTGTATGAGGCATCTAGGGAGTCAAATTCATAGAGACAGAATGTAGAATGATGGCAGAGAGATGACAGGGACTGGGGTGGGGAGGATGGATGCTTACTGTTTAATGGGTACAGAGTTTCAGTTTCTACAAAAATGTAAATACACTGAATGGCACTGAATTTTACACTTAAAATGGTTAAAATAGGAAACTGTACATTATGTCTATTTTACCACAATTAAACACCAAACAGAAATCAGGGAAGTATACTACAGATTAATGTAGAAACAGGAAGAAGAAGGAAGTGTAGGCCTGAGAAGAGAAAATCAAGGCAGGTGGACAAGTTGCACAACTTGGGGGTCCTTCCGAGTGGGAGAGAGTGGTGGGAGCTGGTCACACCCCAAAAAAGCACCAGGTTAGAAAACAATTACAGGGGTTTGGGGGGGTTTCTCAGTGTAGGAGTGCATGGTTGAGGTCATGGGATCAATGCCCACCACAAAAAATGAGAGATCAAACAAAAAAAATTCCAGGAGGAAGCTGGTGCTGGGAGAGGAAGAGTTAGGAACAGCAGGAGCAACCGAGTAGCAAAACACAGATTTTGGATGCATGGTGAAGGGAGTCAAAGTCCTCTGAGGTAAAGGAACCAAAAAGAAAGGGGAAGGTCAAGAAGTAGGTGAACCAAGAGCCTTCTTCTGGTATGGATGGGGAGGGAGATGGGAAGTGCAAAGAGATTAGTGACCTGGGCAAGGAATGACCTGGAGTATGCAGGGTGAACATGGCATACAGGTGACCCTGGAAAAACCTGGGTTAGGATGAGGACAGGGGTGTTGTTCTGGATGAAGGCAGATGAGAGTGGCTGTAGTGATTGCAATGGTCCCACCAGAGGGGGCTTGTGACAGATGAAAGTTGGTGAGGGCTCAGGGTAGCTAGGCAGGTGGTGTGTGCAGGAAAAGGTCCCACAGTGGAGAGATACAGAGGGACCAGGGAAAGAGAGTAGGGTGGAGTGTGGAGGCCTGGAAAGGGTGAGGTTTTAGATGAAAGCAGGCAAAGGTCCATCAAGAAGGAGATGCCTACACTATAGGGAGAAAGAGGATGCAGGGCTGAGAAGAGCAGGGAGGTCAAGGTGCCCTGCACTGTGCTTAAGGCAAATGTCAGCACCAAGATTCCTGCCGGTGATGACTCAGAGCAGTGGAGATGAAGGGAAAACCCAAGGACAGAAGGCTCCACCAGAAACTTAGGGTCATCAGGCTGGGAGTGTAGCTCAGTGGCAGAGCACTTGCTTGGCATGCTTGAGGTCATGGGTTTAATCCCAGTACCACAAAAATGAAAAAGGAAAAGGAAAGATGAAAAACAGGTTTATCAAAATTCTATTTTCATTCTACGCAGAATTGGGAAAAAATTCTAAAATTCATATGAAACCATAAAAGACCCAGTTATGGTTTAGATAGAAGGTGTCTCCAAAAGCTCATGTGTGAGATAATGCAAGAAAGTTTAGAAGTGAAATGATTGGGTTCTGAGAATCTTAACATAATCAGTGTATTATTCACAGAAGGGATTAACAGGGTGGTAACTGTAGGCAGGTAGGGTGCCACTGGTGGAGGTGGGTCATTGGGAACATATTTTGTCCTTGGTGGCTGGAGCTCACTCTTTCTGCTCTCTGGTACCATGTCCTGAGCGGCTTTCCTCTACCTCAGTCAGCTGCCATGATATCCTGCCTGACCTCCGGCCCTGTGGAGCCAGGGATCTATGGAGGAGACCTCTGAAACCATGAGCTCCAAAATAAACTTTCCCTCTTCTAAAATTGTTCTGGTAAGGTCTCTTTTGTTCATAGCAGCAAAAAAAAAAAAAAAAAAAAATCTGACTAAAACAGACCCCCCAAAAAACAAAGTAATATTGACCAAAAAGGACAATGCCAGATTTCAACATAGATTACAAAACTACAGTAAATAAAACAGCATGGTATTGGCATAAAAACAAATGCTATGACCAATAGAAAAGAACTCAGAAATAAACCCACACATGTATAGTGAATGCATTCTTGACAAAGGTGTCAAGAATACAAAATATGAAATGGGTATCTCAATAAAAGCTGTTGAAAGAAAAGGTATTCACAAATTTAAGAATAAAAATAGACCCTCATATAAGCTCTTGTATGAGAATCATACTCAAAATGCATTAAAGATTTAAATGTAACACCTGAAGCAGGGGGTGTTAGAGCTGGCCCATAGTTCCAGTTTCCTGAGAGGTTGATGCAAAAACAGCACATGTGTTCAAGACCAGCTTGAGCAGAAGAGCAATAAATCTTACAAAAAAACAAAGTCCCACTTGAAACTATATAATTGCCAAAAGAAAACACAGGAGCAAAGTTCCTGACATGGGTCTAGAGAGAACTCTCTCAGATATAATCCCCAAAGCATAGGCCACCAGAGCAAAAATAGAACAATTGAATAGCTTTGAACCAAAATTCTTTTTCAGAGGACGGAAAACGAGGGTGAAGAGACAACTCACACATTTGGAGAGTATTTATAAATCATACTTCACACAAGGGGTGACTATCCAAAATATACAAGGAACTCAAAGTTCCTAATAACAAAACAAGTAACACAACTTAAAAATGGCCAAAGAGGAGAGATTCAAGATGGTACATTAGAGGATGTCTGCATTTCTAGTTGCTCTGTGGATCAGGTTTCAAGGAGTAGGGGTATTGCTTCTCAGTTAGGTGGATGAAAGAGGAAATTCACTGAAATTTAATATCAAACCATCAGAGGCTCTTAGAGACTCAGAAATTCAGGTGCATTGAATAAAAAGTAGAAATACATTGGAACCAAGCTGGTTGTGTCAGTGGCACTAGTTCACCACAGAGGAGAGGGATAACACAAACACAGAGAAAACCACATTTGGCACAGAAA